GGAGGTATATTCTAAAAGGGTTCTTGTTAATTTATTTATTATTTTTCAATGGATAAATCATGGATTGGAAATCCACGGAACACAAACGAATACTGGCTTGGTTTAGATAAATTTCTTGATTTTGCGTTTAAGAATGCAGCTGTGGAAGATACAATTAGATGCACATGTCCTAAATGTGGCTTTGTCAAGTGAAAAACTAGAGAGATAGTGCAGGATCATTTGATTTGCAATCCATTCCCTCAAAATTATGTTATTTGGAATCTTCACGGTGAGAAACAGGTAGTAGAGCTTTCTGGAGATAGAGATGTTATGCAAGAGATGGTTAACCCAGAAAATCCAATAGAAACAATGATTAATGATGCATTTGGGCACTATAGGCACCAAGCGGCTGATGTAGGGATATCTCAACCATTGGACTCAAATGAAATATCAAATGAGGGGCATAGGGAGGATTCTGGTGACTTTCATGATTTTCTCAAAGATGGAAGTGAAACACTGTATGAAGGCAGCAAGTTCACAAAGCTAGAGTTTTTAATAAAATTGTATCATATAAAGGTCTATTATGGATTAAGTGACAAGACAATGACTATGATACTAGATTTGTTGAGAGATGCATTTGAAGATGCAAAGTTACCTCCTTCCTTTTATGAGGCCAAAAAAACCATTAGCAAACTTGGCCTTGACTATACCAAGATACTTGCATGTCCAAATAATTGTATGCTATACTGGGAAGGTGATTCAGAATTGGAAGCATGTAAGCATTGTGATACATCTAAATTGAATCCTAACAAGAAAAAAAAGCAAGCTGCAAAGGTTTTGCGTTATTTTCCATTAAAACCAAGATTGCAATGATTATTTATGTGTTGTAAGACTGCTGAACATATGAGATGGCATGCTTCAGGCAATAATATTGATGGGTTGATAAGGCATCCAAGGGATGGTGTGGCATGGAAGACATTTGATCGGACTCATTCTGGATTTGCTTCAGATCCTCGAAACGTTCGCTTAGGCCTTGCTAGTGATGGTTTTAGTCCTTTTGGAACAATGACTACTACATATAGTATTTGGCCAATCTTCTTGATTCCATACAATCTACCTCCTTGGATGTGTATGAAGCACACCTCCTTCATCTTATCAATGATCATTCCAGGGAAGCACATGCCTGGAAATAATATAGATGTGTACTTACAACCCCTTGTGAAGGAATTACACGAGTTATGGAATGATGGTGTAGAAACGTTTGACTCATCGTTGAATGAAAAATTTAGAATGCATGCAGCTCTTATGTGGACAATCAGTGACTTTCTTGGATTAGGTATCTTATCTGGCTGGAACACACATACTGGTTTTGCCTGCCCAACTTGTAACTTTGACACAGAACCTTGTCGTCTTCGTCATAGTAAAAAGTTGTGCTTTATGGGCCATCGACGTTTTCTGAGAAGAAATCACAGGTTTAGGTTGAATCGAGTACGGTTTAATGGAAGTAAAGAGGAGCGAAATCCACCATTAAAATTGTCAGGGTCTGCCATTTTGAGACAAATAGAAGAAGGGAGAGGAGCAGAGTTGAATTGTAGAGGGAAAAGATCTAGACGAGCAACTAAGCAATGGAATAAGAGAAGTATATTCTTTGAACTTCCTTATTGGAAATCTAATTTGTTGCATCATAATCTAGACTTTATGCATATTGAAAAGAATATATGTGACAATATCATATATACATTGCTCCATGATAAATCGAAATCAAAAGATAATATTAATGCCCGAAAGGATCTAAAAGAAATGGGCATAAGGCGTGATCTTTGGTCGGATGATAGTGGAAAATATCACCTTGTTGTGTTTTCACTTATGAATGATAAAAAAAAGAAGTTGGACACTAACATGTTGTTCCTTACAACTTTGAAGAATATTAAAGTACCAGATGGCTACTCAAGTAACATTTCTAGCTGTGTTGATTTGGTACAGAAAAAGATTTTTGGGTTGAAAAGTCATGATTGCCATATTATTTTAGAGCAATTGCTACCATTGGCGATCCGCAATGTGTTGACCGACCATGTAGTTGCAGTTTTGGTGGACCTCTGCTCATTTTTCAGAGCCCTTTCTAGCAAAACTTTGAATGTTTCAGAGCTTGATAAGCTCCAAGAGCGCATTAAAAGTACACTTTGCCACCTAGAGATACTATTTCCTACAACATTCTTTATAGTAATGGTTCATTTGTCTGTCCATCTAGCAGAGGAAGCAAAACTCGGAGGTCCAGTGCATCATCGAAACATGTATCCCGTCGAGAGGTAAAACATTAACATTTCTAATTTGAAGATATTTGCATTATGGTCACTTGAATTAGTTTGTACACTTATGACCTATTATTTTTGTAGGGAGTTGGGACATTTTAAGTCCTTTGTACGGAATAAAGCACAACCAGAGGGTTCTATAGCTGAGGTTACTTAGCTGAAGAGTCTCTTACCTTTTGTTCTCGGTATATTGAGGATATTGAGGAAAGATTCAATAGACCTAAGCGTGTTCGTGATGACCCAAATGTCACTAAGCCTTCTGGAACGTCCTCTATATTTCCTCAATTAGGTAAACCTACATCAGCTTCAATTACATTCCCTTTAAATGATATGCAGAAACTACAAGCTCATCGGTATGTGCTTTTGAATTGTGCAGTAGTCACGCCATTTGTGGAGTGAGTAACTCATACAAACTTTATATTCTTTATCATTGTAATGTTTCTTGTTCTTTAACATTAATGTAATTATTTCATATAGTGAGTTTAGACAGTACATAAGGAGGAGTTCAAGAAGAAGACCTTCACCTACAAAGATAGAGAGGAGAGTTAATAAAGAGTTTGTTGATTGGTTCCAAAAGCGGGTGAGTAAGTAATCATTAGTTATTGTTTACATTTGGTTGAACGAGAAAACTTCACTAATACAATCTCGTTTTGATTTAGATTATGAATCCAGACACAATAGATACAATGTCTATTGATCTAAAGTTTCTTGCACGAGGTCCATCGGTAGTTGCAAGACGTTTTACTGCATATAACATCAATGGGTCCAAATTTCGAACTTTGGCTCGAGAAGAAGGTCTAAGAACACAGAATAGTGGAGTTTTCTTAACTTCTAAAACATCATGTGTTGCAAGTAGTATTGACGGAAATTTAAGGCAAGTAGAGTTACCATATTATAGGAAGTAGAAGATATTCTTGAGATTAATTATTATGGTCGATTCAAGGTTGTTCTTTTCAAATGTAGATGGGCTGATACTGCTCGAGATAGAGGGTATAAAAAGGATCGTTGGAACTTAAATTGTGTTAATTTTGATAGATTGATTTATACTGGTTAACGTGAAGAACATGGGCCTTACATCGAAGCATCTCAGGCACAAATGGTGTACTATGTGGATGATGTTGTCAATAAAGGGTGGAGTGTTGCTATGCATATAAAGCCAAGAGATCTATATGATATGGGAGAAGAAGTAGTGGAAGATGAAATATATGAGAATGAACCATACCAAGAGCAAGAACTTGAACAGTTTTTTGGGGATGGTGATGAGTATGTACAACTAGCTACGGACCATATAATTGATGATGTAGTAGAGACAAATGTTGCTACTAACGTAGCAGCTGATTCATACATGTTTGAATAGAAAATTTATTTAATATGTTGCTTTACCTGAAGGTAATATTATTGCATAAGTAGTGTTTATTTTATTTATTTGATGTATAAGTATATTTAGAATGGTATTCATAATTGGTTTGAAGGCATATTTAGAAATGATAAGGTTAATTCAATCTGTTGTTCCTCACATGGCATCCAAGAAGAAAGGGAAAATAGTAAATGTTGAAAGTTGCATTGCTTTGGATCTGGGACCATGGTCAGGTGCTTATAGTGCATCCAAAGCTGATGTACACTCATTTACTGATACCTTGAGGTATGTTTGTATGATATAGCTAACTTTGTTTTGGATGGTTTTTCAACTTCAAATTGCAGCCAAGCATACACCAATTAAATTTTATTACATGCTCTTAAGCTTAATTATCTTACTTTATCTTTAGTTTTTGGGAGCTTTATTTTTATTAGATTGTCATTATGTATTAGATGTACTGATTTCTTTTCCTTGAACCACATTAATATTTTTTACTTTGTTCTCATCTCATAATTAACGACTCAAACTCCACACTTAAGATTCACTGGAAACCAGATGCAGAAGAAGCTGCAAACAAAGGCTTTGAGATTGATAGTGAAGATGCGTGGACACATCATGCTGTGAGTTACTCTTTCCTTTCTAGTTGATATCTCCTAGTGAAAAATGCTAATATTAGTTGGAATGGCTAAAGAAGTCGTCAAAATACATGCAAATATGTTGGCGGCTGGAGGAAATTCATTTATTCATCCAGTGCTATTCTTGTATAATATTTTTTTGCTTATCTCATGATAATCTGCATGTAGCTTTGTCATGTGTATCACTACAAGTGTTGTTTTAAAGAAGCAGTACAATTTATGGAGAAGTTCTCAAGAACCTGGAGTTCTTTGTCATCTTTTATGTATCCGCAGAATTCCATACTAGTTCAGCTTTGAATTTTGTAATTTTTAAAAGCTAACCACTAGGATATTTGCAGGTATACACACAATTGGTGGCATGTCGCGCTTTGTTGTTTTGAAGGTCATTCTCCGATGGAAAAAGTAAGAGACGTGTATGACCAGAACATCTCGAAAGAGTTGGAAAGAAGCGATGCCTCTCCAGCCGAAGTAAGTTAGTGGTTTGTAGTCAACCAACTTCTTTCAATAATACTTGATGAGAGTTAACAGTGTTCTTGGAAACATGCAGGTGTACTTGAATGCTGTTGGTTTGTTACTCAGGGTATATGTACGAGGTAGGATTAATGTCTTTGGGGATTGTTTGAAGATCCTAGCTAGCTGATTGTCTGACAAATATGTCTGACAACATCACTAGTTTCTACGCAGCTGCAATTCATAATTGGTTTGAAGGTATATTTAGAAATGATAAGGTTAATTCAATCTGTTGTTCCTCACATGGCATCCAAGAAGAAAGGGAAAATCGTAAATGTTGGAAGTTGCATTGCTTTGGATCTGGGACCATGGTCAGGTGCTTATAGTGCATCCAAAGTTGTACACTCATTTACTGATACCTTAAGGTATGCTTGTATGTTATAGCTAACTTTGTTTTGGATGGTTTTTCACCTTTAAATTGCAGCCAAGCATACAACGATTAAATTTTATTACAGGCTCTTAAGCTTAGTTATCTTACTTTATCTTTAGTTTTTGGGAGCTTTGTTTTTATTATATTGTCATTATATATTAGATGTACTGATTTCTTTTCCTTGTACCACATTAATATTTTTACTTTGTTCTCATCTCATAATTAATGACTCAAACTCCATACTTAAGATTCACTGGAAACCAGATAAGTTTCTCTGGACGTGTTCACCTTCTCGCATGAATGTTACCTTTGCATCGGATGAGGCATCACCTGTCAAACCTCAGCTTTAAATGAAATTACTTTCTGGCATTGTTTTCCTCCTATGATCAAACTTTTTGACTTCATAAGTATCTTTTTCATTATGCTGAAGAGTTGTCAATAAATCCTCTTATGAAGTAGTTATGTTGAACACATTGTTGGCCAGGTTGCAACTTACAAGTCATATGGCTGAAGATAGGAAGCCAAGGTCCAGTATGTTACTTGGTTAGTTCCTTGTTTGAGACTAAATCAGACAGTGAGACCGTGTTATAGGCTGATAGCATCACATGGAGGTATAGTTATGCCCTTTACTACCAGTTACCCGGTCAAATCAGGTTGTGCACCTTGATTCTTATAACATATTAGCTGCATAGTTCACAGTATTTTTGAATTTTTCTGAGTAGTGATATTCCTGTTGGAAAGCTTATTTTACTCCTAAATCTGCAGCCTAAAGTGTTGTCAAGCTCGCGTAAAGCATGCTTAGGCGCTGAAGCTAGGCATAAAATAGGCTTATCTTAAAGAGGCGAACTAAACAATTATCCATGGTCTGTCAACTTTTTCTGCATACTGATGACTACTATTTTCTGGCGTCATTCAAAATGTTGTATTTTAGTCTTGTCTAAAAGCATTAGTTCAGCCTTGCATTAATCTCACTTATTAATCATTGGCTAATCTGTATAATGTCATTGACCTGTTTATTTTGTACTTCCTCCAAATTTTCAAATGGGATATCACAGAACTACATTGGACGGCAATCTTGTTCAGTAAATGTAGTGCCTGAAGTCTTTGGAGGAGATCCATGTCCAAATACCTCTAAGAAACTCTCTGTGGAGGCTACTTGCAGCTGAAATTAGCAAGGTATTTACAGGCAAGTAATGGAGCCAAAATCTATTAATTTCAGTACAAATATACTTGGATTACATAGAGCAAAGCTTTGAAAATTTCTTGCTTCTCTGCAACCTTTAATTTCATAAGTTTCAGGAAAGCAGCAGGTCGGGTTAAGGATTGAAGAAGTTGTACAGCATCTTGAACACCATAGCCCACTATGATTTCAGTTATATAGTACACAAATAAGCTTCGTGTACATATATGTATACAAAGAATTAGTGGTTCATAGGCAAGCCTTCCACCAAATGATTGAAAACCAGGCCCCAGAGAGGAGTAAAACTGCTAGTGGAATAAGACAAGTTGCAAGGGAGCCAACTTCCCCTTTTATTTTGTAATAATTCTACTATACAAAACTATATCACTAATTTAGATTATTTCTATAGCTTTGCATCCTTTTGTGCTTGCCTTAATATTTACATCCTATGATACTTCTTGTTTCATAACCCCAAAACGCCAAAAAAAAAAGTTATCCATGGCGAAGCAATGAGTGTTAGCCACTAGGACGTTTTTAATTGACCCACCAATTTTCAGGTCAATCAAGAATTGACCCACCAATTATCCATGGTCTGTCAACTTTTTGAATTTTTCTGAGTAGTGATATTCCTGTTGGAAAGCTTATTTTACTCCTAAATCTGCAGCCTAAAGTGTTGTCAAGCTCGCGTAAAGCATGCTTAGGCGCTGAAGCTAGGCACAAAATAGGCTTATCTTAAATAGGCGAACTAAACAATAAAGATTTTTTATAATGTCTTATCCATATAACGTTGTTATTTACTTGTTCCTATTCTTCCTCTCGAGTCAAGGGTCTTTTGGAAACAGTATTCCTGCCCTCCAGAGTAGGGGTAAGGTCTGCATACACATTACCCTCCCCAGACCCCAATTGTGGAATCCCACTGGATTGTTGTATTCATATTTGATTCACCTTTTTATATTTGATTTACCTCTTTTTAATCTGTGGTATTCATATTTGTTTGCCATAAGAGTATCTCTTGGAAAAAAGATGAAAGTATTGGAAGAACTGAGAGAGAGAGAGAGAGAGAGAAAGTAAGGGACAAAAAAAATAGTTGGAAGAACAATTTTGTTATCATGTTAGAGGGTATTACCCGCTAGAGGAATCAATGGGAGGGCGGAGAAAGTTTCATGGAGCAAAGGAATTATTATTGTCGGACTGCTACGATGTTCGAATTTCCCACAATATAGTAGGAAAATGCAATGTTCATTCTTTTAGGAACTATACTAAGCTTGAGAATGTTGGTCCGGAGTATTACTACTGTCGGTTCAAGTATAAAATGGCAACTGGAGCTTTTGTGCAAGATATGGTTCCAATGTAAGTGTATGAAATTCCGCATGGTTGCTGATTGAAGTTGAGCAATGTTCTTTATGCTCTTAATACTTTTTTGTTTCTCTGAAGGTATTGCAAATGCGAGATGCCATATAATCCGGATGAGTTTATAGTAAACAATATTGATGAGAATAGTCAAGTAAATTGGATCACTTGGTCTTTCTATTTTATTCTCAATCTCTGTATTTGGGCTACGAAAAGACTAATTTTCATGGCAGGGATATAACTTAGAGTCTCAGACAACCAAATTAAAAGAAAAGGCCATTTTGGTAAGTTGATAGTGTATCTAGAATCTAGATAGGCTTGGCTTTACTAAAACTCATTTAGTTGTTCTCCTATGCAATGTAGATAAATACATTTTGGTGCTTTTAACCCCTTAGAAAATTAAAATTGGTTTCACAATGACTTATGTTGATATGGTCGTCTTGTATAGTGCAAGATAGACCGCCCAAATTGTAGATATTTAATTGCTTGAAAACGTGAAATGGTAAAATGGAGGACTCCGATCTGCTATTACCAGTGATGTTGCTTGCTTTTCCCAATCAATTTCTTGTCACAATTCCTCCTCCTCCTTATGTACGTTATCTTGACTTGACCATATTCGTATCTTGATTTTTGACATCTTCCTGTTTCTATTGTTCAGAGTGCGACTCCTGCAGTACTTCTAGAGGTGTTAATCGGGCCGGGCTGACCCGCTAACAACCCGGTTCAACCCGGTTCAACCC